GGGCTGGATTCAAACCCACCACCTTAGGTGTATGTGGCTGGCGCCTTAGCCACTTGAGCCACAGGCGTCGAGCCCCACCTTTTTTTTTAAAGACAGTTTCACTAGAGTGCAGTGAGTTGTAGCTCATTGCAACCTTAAACTCTAGAGCTCAAGTGAATCTCTTGCCTCAGCCTCTTGAGTAGCTGGGACTACAGGCATGTACCTTGGCTAATTTTTTTCTTTTGTAGAGATGGGGGTCTTGCTCTTTAATTTAAATGTAAATTAAAAGACCACAAACTTGTAAACTTAAGCAGTCCTCCTACGTTGTCCCCCCAGAGTGCTAGGATTACAGATGTGAGCCATTGTGCCAGGCCTCTATTCTGCTTTTGAGATTTACAATACTGTACTCTTATATTGATCCCCAAACACAAGGCTTTTATTAATAACCCTACCCCACATCATCTGCCTCTGTACATAGCTATGGCTGCTAGCATCCTATCAGTATAGCTTTGTACCTGCTATTTGTGTGCCAATTCAGTGTATCTTCCTTAGTGTTGTCCTGCCATAGTTGTGCTTGGATTATGTTTTCCAGGGTTTTGTGCCATGTCCTGCTACATTTATAGTGAGGATTATATTATCTTGTCCATCACATGTTTGAATTTACAGTTTTGGGGGTTTTTTGGCCATGGCTGGGTTTGAACCCACTACCTCTGGTATACAGAACTGGCGCCCTATTCCTTGAGCCACAGGTGCCGCCTACGTGTTTGAATTTAAATTAGGAGAGGTCTTTGGAAATGTTCAATTTGTTCAGCATGCTCTTAATGTTATACACCACATATAATTTGTTGCCTATTTAGAGTACTGTTTTGATTTTCAGGTTGTGTCACTATTTAAGGAGTACATTTCATCAGGAATGATGAGTTTTAGTTTCTACAGAGAACTAATTTGTTAATGTTTTTGAGCCATATGTTTTCCAATCAGGTAAGCTATTAGGTCTTCTGAATGCTTATCAGTATTTGATTTTAATAGAAAAAGGAGAGCATTTTAGGCATTATTTCCTGATGGAAGAGTTTCTTATACTTGTTATCCAACTGACTGTCCTCTTAGAGGTTGATATACTTGTTTATGACTTCTCTAAGCAGTAGTGAAATTGGAATAAAATAGTCTTTTTTGCTATGGACATTGTCATGCTCTGTGTGCTTTGGCATTGCAGTTATTTATTCTGCCTTTGTAAAAGCTTATAAGATGAGCACTAATTAAAAATTGAGTAACACAAGTTTATCCGACAGCATATTTTTACTCATTTGTTTACCTTTTCATCCATTTGTTTATATATTCATGCTGAATATCTGATAATCTCTTCCATTTGGGAACATTTTCCACTGCAGTGGAATGTTTTCAATGTACCTTTGAACGTTTTCAATGTACCTTTGTATCGATTTAGCAGTATCAGATAATGCTTTAGAGATTTAAAAAATCGTTTTTGTCTTTTTTTGCACGATATATTAAAATAGTGATTTAAAATTTTTTTTTTTTTTGAGACAGAGCCTCAGGCCGTTGCCCTGGGTAGAGTGCAGTGGCATCACAGCTCACAGCAACCTCCAACTCTTGGGCTTAAGTGATTCTCTTGCCTTAGCCTCCCAAGTAGCTGGGACTACAGACACCCCGCCACATCGTCTGGCTAGTTTTTGGTTGTTGTTTTCAGTGTTGTTTGGCAGGCCAGACTGGATTGGAACCCACCAGCTCTAGTGGATGTGACTGGCGCCTTAGCAGCTTGAGCTACAGGTGCCCAGCTGATGGGTTTCTTTTTCTTTTTGAGTTGTGAGCAGTAATGAGCCCTCTAGCACACCAATTGGGTATCAAAACCCCAAATATATTGCCTAACACTTTTCTTGGGCTTGTCTTGACTTATCAAATGGTACTCCTTGACGGCTTGATTATCCCTCACCTGCATTTCCAGCTACCCTGGGCTTTTTTACACTCCCTAACCCCCACCAAACTTTCTTGCCTTTGGGGCTTTCCTCAGACTATTTTGTCTGTGTTGAGGTGCTTTCCATTCCCTGGCTTATGAGGGCCTGGC